TTATCCTGTATTTGATTGTGTTTATCTGCAGTTAGTTACACGAATTCAGATATGGGATGAATTCGGATAGGGATGAACGGGTTTAAAAGTTTTTAAGAGTTTAAGAGTTTTTAAGAGTTTTAGTCAAATGTTTTATAAGATAGTATAGATAAGCTGGTGTTTTGATAAAAGTAAGAAAAGATGATGATTGTGTTATAGTTGAAATTAGAAGAATGAATGGATGAGTTATTGACATCCACGACCATCATCAATAACTCATTTGTGGAAATGGAACCAACACAATCATTTCTATTTTGATTGTAATGCTATTATTGCTTGTGTTTTTCTTTTTAGAGATTAATGGATGGATTTGGAAGATAAAAGCAAATTTGGTAGGCCGTGCTTGGCCTTGTATTTTTATTTGGACAAAAAGTAGATAACCCGTGATTCCAACTGGTTCTATACGGACCTGCCTCAAGGACATCAATGTGAGGGGACATTCTTTTGCTCACTCAACTAGTGGAGCAAGCCTAGGGGTTGTCTTGTATTCAAGCAAAATCATCTTATCTTTTACCAACTGAACTACACGCTAGAGGTTATATTATTATAATTAGTTATATTTTCTATATAATTAAAAAGTTATTACTTCTTTTATTGAAAAAAAGAAGTGGCTTACGGTGACGTCAGTGCCAACCGACTTTATAGATACATACACAGGGTGAGAAACGTAATAAAATGATCTGCATCCTTGGATCAACCTTAACTGAAGATCGACATTACGGAGACGCACCTGATTAATTCTCGTTAAGGAGCGCAATTCATGGATGGGTGTGAAATTAAAGGTGATCAAAGGGTCTCGATCTATTCTTATGCTTATCATTTTAACTCTCTTTCTCACACGATCCTTTGCATGTGCGCGCACGCACACACACACACATAAGGTTGAGTTCACGTGAGACCAACATGTTTTTGTGAGATATGTGAGATCAAATTTTTACAATTGAAACTTCACAATAAAACATTGTGAAGTTAAAAAATTTCGAACATTCACAGCGAGAACACTATGAAGATGGTCTCATGAGTCTCTCGGAAACATGTTGGTCTCATATGATCCCAAATCTATATATTAGAGTAGACTATAATTTTGGTCCTTGTGGTTTTTAGGTATAACTTTTCCGTCTCTATAGTTTTGAAAATACACGATGGTCATTGTGGTTTGCAAAAGCATCGGGTTTTGGTTCGCTCTATCTAAAGGATTTGCATCTTCCCTGATTTGTTTTTCAATGTAAAAAAATTAGGCCCCATTAGCTTGTGGAAGAGTCCGACCCTTTATAGGACAATTAAGAACTTGTTCTCTAGCGCACAAAAACGTATGTGGGTTTGCTATATCAGACTCGTTGGCAAAAAAGTTAGGTACAACTGTTGTCAGCTTAAGCTCACAAATGATTACTTCAAATTGGATTAGCTTATACAATGATTGAGATTGTAATAAAACAATCAGTAGGCATAAACCCGTCTTCTATATTTATTATCCTCACAAGAAAAGTGAAGATGAGTTTACCAACTCTAAAAGTTGATATAGTAGTTGATAACAATGTTCAATTTCAATCACTTGTTGTTTGACATAAAAAGATCAATGATAAGGAATGCTCACATTCAACTAGTGATGGCCAAATCGGCCCGGTCCAGGACCGGTAAGGACCGATTATGGGACCGAAAACTGGGAACGGTTGGGGTGTTTGGCAGTTTTGTGGGACGGGGACCGGTTATGGTTAGGCCCTGCCAAACGTATTTTTAAAGTGTATTTGAGTGACTCGATTATAAATTTTATAATGTATTAAATATATATATATATATATATATATCATTAAAAAATTATTTTTTATTGCGGCGACCGGGACTGTGGACCGGCGGCTCATAACCGGTTATAAAGAACCTTGATCGGTCTTACCATTTTCGTCCGGGACCGGTTATGAAAAAGCTTGGGATCGATTAGGACCAGCCCGTCTCGGCCCGGGACTGGTTTTTGGCCATCATTACATTCAACTTCTGACACATAATAACTTTATGGAAGATAGAGCCATATGTTCATTTGAAAAATGGTAAATGTGTGTGAGGTAGAGAAGTGATCCTAACCCTTCATCTAGTCAAGATTACGACTGTGATTGTGAAGCACCGGATAATTCCTCGCATGGTATGTAGAAAATAGAGGGGTAAATGCGTAACTTTTACAAATAAGCGGCAAAACAAGTGCATATGTGAACCCGTGTGATTCACATATGAACTATGGGTTAACATATTCATTTGTTTGCTGTCTATTTGTAAAATTTACGAAACTACCCCTCTATTTTTCGCTTGACCAGTTAAAGCCACAAATCTTGACCGTGTGAAAGGCGAGGATTACTTCTCTATTTCTCACACAATTAGTACTTCTCAAATGAACCTCTCCCTATATGTGTGTGTATACTTGGGATTACGTAAGACCAACATGTTTTTGCTAGACCGTTGAGACCATTTTTTTACACTTGAAATTTCATTGCAAAATAATGTGAATGTAACCTTCACAATGTTTTTGCTATGAATGTTCAGATTTTTTTTTTTTACTTTCTTAATGTTTTTCTGTGAAGTTTCAAGTATAAAAAAGTGGTCTCATGGTTCTTATGAAAACAACTTGATCTCACGTGAATCCAACCCTATATAAGTAACAATATGTCTGGACTCAATTAACATGATAAAGGATAAACATAAAATTCTAGAACACGTGTTTTGTATATCTAAAACTTCACCATTTCGACTACGACATTCATGATTAAAGTTGGTATAAGGAGTCTTGTCACCTCGTAATTGTTATACATCCATTATCTCCAATCGACCATCAACATAATGAAGTCGCATCAATCACAACTTAAATCCCATCCAATATTCTCAAATATCTTTAATTTCACAATCTTTCTACATTCCAATCATCATTTCCAACTTCATATGTTCAAGCCAAATTAACCTATATACAAACACTTCGTGACCTTCAATTTAATCGATTCTCCATTATAGTTCATCGTTTATATGATCC